CCCCGGTTGTCACACTTCACCAAATCGTAAGAAATTTCCCTGATATTGCATTTTATCGATCTTTTACTTTTTTTCAAAGATTCAACTTTTACTTTTGAAATGCTCTGACGAAGATGAAATACACATTCCTGATCAGGAGCTGCTACAAATTTTGTATGCCCGATCGATTGATTCGCTAACAGTAAAGTGCCCTTTCCAGATTGGGGCAATGATAAGTACCGCCTCTGATTGTCACACTATACCAAATACCGTAAGGAAATTTCCGATTCTGATATCACAGCTCTGACTTAGAACAATGTTTGCTTTTTCATTTGCCAAGAAATCTTGAAATTCTGCTTTTCATAAAGCTCTGAAGATGATGGAACGATACGTACCTCCTTATCTAATCCAAGTTCATTTGCCACTTGCAAAATCTCCTGTGCATTAGGTTTATGATTCTTTTGAAAGTGATATTCCAGACGAGACTTGACATTTACCTAAAAATATCACAATTTTTGGCAAATCCCAGAAAATGCTTGATTTTTCATTACCTCTATGCTTGTTCTCTTCTTTCTTTTTCTTCCGCCTTGCCCTGTCATCTTCTCAAAAGCCGAATTCGGACTAGCAGATGTGGAATCGGCTTCTTCAAGCCATTTGAACAGAAGTGGCTTCAGCTTGCACATATTCTGAAATCACGTCATTAGTGCGTGAACCTCAGAGACTTCAAAGTAACAAAAATGGCAACAATCAATTGATGGCGAATTGTTAACCTTGAACGACAACTGGAGCGCTTCGAATCGACAAATCGTCGTCTGAGAAAACACATTCCCATAGAGCGTGCCCAATGCCAAACCGACATCCGCTTGAGTGTACCTAGAAAGATGTGACTTTCACTTTTGCCACGGTTAGAGGGGGAAGAAAGGGATCCTGAGATTTTCTGGGTCGAAAATGCTTACCCTAATTTTATTCTTCGTTGCTTAAACTGCTTGGCAAAAGCTTCCAAATCATCAGGGCAACCGGGTTCGGAATCATCTGACAGTTGTGAGTGAGCTGCGTCATCTGTGGGGAATGTGTATGGCCATGGATGCGGTAGTCGTTGAATCACTTCAGGCCTTTCGGTGTCAACCTAGAATAACAGTTATTGCCCTTCTTCCATGGGATCGTGACAGGACAGTACGTAAAGCAGGATTTTAAGAATCAAACATCAAAAATCAGTGGTGAGTTGACTTTGAGTGCTTTAATTCTACCATCATTATGGTGACAAATTTCTCATAATGATAAAAAGCGTGTGAGATTAAAACTCAAGAGCTTTTAATAGCAGGCACACATAGCAATAAAGCAAGTGTCTCAAATAATCTGTGATGAGAAAACAACTTTCTTCGGGGAACTTATGACGACAAGGATGAAAATTTGGTTGAGCAATCATAGGCTAATTTTAAAGTCTCACTAATTTCCGAAAGGCAAGTGATGTATTATTCAGAACATAAGAAAGCGACATTCTTTGTCAAATGAGTTTTCCATGTTCTTACAATCATCAGATTTCAATACACCTCATACTCCTCACAGAGTTAACTACATAAGAGTGGTAAATAGTTAAGAATATAATGAGCCTAACTAATGTAAGGCCTTCAGTGGAGTATCTTTTGACTATAAGTTGGTTTATATAAACTTTCTGTCCCGTTATTGTTATGAGACTACTGTAGGAGAGGAAACAGCTGTACAAATTTTCCTACCACCGTATTTGTCCCACTTTCAGAATGAAAACATTACCGTAATAGGAGGTGTTAGGCGCTGCGCAAATTGCTGTTACGAACATGAAGTTCTTTGTAGTTATGTAGGACGGAGTAGCTAAGCTATCTAACAGTAATTAACGCCTTATACAATGTTACTGGCAACTTCGATATGCTTCAACAACCCAACAGTTCTGAACTCGGATAAAAAGCTTTTTTTTCTTGGCCCACTAATAGAGTGTGAAGAAGAATTAAGGTTAGGCGCCGTGAGGAGGCCAAGAGAGGGTAAGTCGTAATCAATTGAGAAGGCGCGAAGACGGACAAACGGACACAAACGAACGCAGAGCAAGCGTGACGACGTTGAGGGCGATGGTGTACGGTGTTAGGAGAAATTGATTGAACTGGTCCGACACATGTTTGGATAAGAGAGGTTCTGGGAGCCAATTTGAGGAAGGAATTTGTGATATTTCAAAATTTAGGAGCTTGAGTATCAGTGGAAGCAAGAATGAGTAAGTAAAGAGGAATAGGATAGAGATATTAAGGATGAAAGTGGGAATATGAGTAATATGGAATTTACCTTCATTTCATGTGGTTGCAGCATGGGCTGCTGTTGTAATTGTAGGTGAGCAGGGTAGGACCATTCCGACTGTGGAAAAAGAAACGGAAACTGCTGTGCTTGTGGATACTGCACGGGCGCGG